TAGATAAACAGCATTTTATTATAGTAAAAGTGATACAATTTCTGACTTTTTACTGCATGTTGTTTTTTAAATTAATTAATTAAAAATGAAAAATGTTAATAATAAATAAGAATAATTATAATAAACAATAACAAACTTTTTTTAATAAAAAAAAATAGTATTTTAAATTAGCATTTTATTATAGTATAATTGAGAATTTTTGGCCTGTTACCAAATGTGGCTCTTTTTTTTTTTTATAAATTAAAAAAGTAATTGGCATCTGCGCCGCCGCGCGCTCAATCCACTCAGCGTGCTTTGTTTATCAGCTCGCGCACATCTGCTATACAGGCGTTAATACTGAATGTTTAACATTATATTCTAAAAGTTTTGTAAAAGTCTGACTAAAAGTAAAAAAGTAAAAAATATTCATTGCATACATATAGGCTACTTCGTAGACATCCTTAATCTCTAATAACTCCATTTTGCTGTCTGTGTTTCTTTGTCTGAATATGGCACTTATCACATGCTGTGTGGTATCGGCGTTTGGTATCGGGACATTTTAACGAGTATGAGTACAGGAGCTCAGTATCGGGCCCGATACCGATACGTGCATCCCTAGTTATTGTTAATCATTATTCTTTTTTATTTCTAAAAATGTAGTATAGTACTAATGTAAATTACATAAATGTATGGACGGCGATAAACAATATTTTATTATAGACAGTATTTGGCTTTTTACCATATCTTGGCTTAAAAAAAAATTGTTAATTTAAAGATTTTAAATATTTTAATAATAAAAATAACAAACAATGACAAAAAAACGTATTTAAATTGGTTAGTTTAAATTTAGCACATTACTAAATTAAATGACATAAATGGATGATAAATGGTTTTATTAAAGTGGAAGTGAGATCAGCGGTGTTCAGGAGGATGTGTTGGGAAAGTGCTGAACTCGCGCCGCCAGCGTGACCTGTGTTCATTCACTGAGCCCGACATCAATCTGCCATCTGTGTTATTCGTGGCGTTTGGCGTTCGCAGCTCCTTCTGACCAAACCGCTGCTAGTTAGGCCAAATATGCGCTTTACAGCAGCGTCTGCTGCTCCGCTCATGCAGAATTAGGGCTTACGCTGACGTCAGGATGGAGAGTTATGTTTGAAAGAGGCTTAATGTGTTATATGCTCTGGATTTGGTTAAAAATATCAGCCAATGCACAAATACACAACAGGATTCATTTAGTCACATGCTGAATGCGTGCAGACACACACACACACACACTCCAGCACAAACATATGTTCACACATACACACTCGCCAAGCGCCAAATGTGAGTAGAAATGAGCTTCGGT